GGAAAGATTTTACGTTCACTTGTTGGAATTCCTTTTATTGTAAGCCAACAATGTCTTATCAAATCCCTTCATTTGGCAAACGACTTTAATTAACGATGTCAAAAGTAGTGGTTTTAACTGATTACCGTAGTGTAGCTGCCGATGAGGAAATTAAAAGCCAACACTTTGCCCCGAAACTGCGCATCCCTCAGGCAATCAAACAGATGAAGTTTCATCGGGCGAAAAATGGGGCAACACTTTTAATGTGGAAATGAACTATGTCTATACACACTTTGTTGCAGCATCTGCGTTGGTATTTTTGTTTTTAGGCTAGTGTCAGCTCCTAGTGACCACAAATCGGGAAGAATATTCGAATACGTTAAAACCGACTAATAGCCGTAACTACCATGCATTGTTTCAGAGCGTAATTAAAGCATTGTCGTAGAAAATTTATACATCTTCATTTTAATGAGTTCAAGAGTAGTGCCTGGAAAGTAGGAAACTTTTTAAACGGGACTGCACAACTCACGGAACGGTTCGTAGTACCTACTATCTAGGATGCCTTCTTTACTGTATTACCTGAGCGGCTTAAAATGCGTAGTAAATTATCAATCTGTTTTATATTTGAAACACTAAAATAAATGTATTCTTCTTTTATTTATCCTACGAAAGAGGCATATGTAAAACCCACATGCTGACTCATACCTTCCGATCCTTTTGTCTGATTACTTTGAAGTTTAATGATTTAAAAGTCAGTCAAGTTATTTTGCATACCGCAAAACGGTGAAGAATGCGTTGCTCGTAGGTTTGGCGGTTGGTCAGCTTCGATGCCCACGTATTGACTCTCACGCATGCAGACACAATAAATAGAAGTAGGAAATTCTAGTAGCTGTGCAAAAATCCCACAGGAGAAGAGCGTTGGTGTGCTCCTTCCATTTGTAATAGGAAGCGCTGTGATTGCAGCCACACAAGTATAGGATAGTACCCCCAATTCCACAAGCACAACAGCAACCACTACCGCTGAGTCCTCTTCAGTGGCGCCAACGCCGACGAGTGTAGGTGAGTCTCACAGTGCCGCAAGAATTACTACAGGGGCACTCAGTAGTTCTTCTTCTACAACGACGAGTGCACGGCAGGGTTAAAATAGCTACAGCACTACTGCCAGACCCAATACATCGTCTCCCAGTGATCCCACAACCACTTCCAAGATGTCCATTCCTATCATCGGTGTCCTCCTCTTGTCTATGTCAAACGCTTATATCCTCTTCCAGTGTAATCTTCTCTCGACTTCTCAACCATTTTCCTTTCTTCTCCTTGTACCTCGCCAATTATTCACAATAACTAGGTGTATTTCGTGGAAGAAGGTGGGTCATTGTGATTCATTGGAGGGTGCCTAGAATGCATCAATCCATTCTACATAATTGCCATTTTAAGAGGATATTCTCATGTGGATTTGCTGGAGTACCCTTCCCACAGATAACCAATTTCCGTCTTAAGTTTATTCTCAAGCATGAGTTAAAAGGAAATTATAAAGTGAACCGTCAATATTAGCAGCTGGTTGCACCTCTGTGAATAAACAGAATGTAACGGGTAAGTCCATACCTTTGTAGTATGGCGGGTTGTCCATTGCGAATACTGAAATGTAGAAAAGCAGAATTAATACGATTCGATGGTCTGTCATACTACAATAGAAAGTAATAACCTCCTTGTCTCAAAGTGTTATACTTACCGCACTGGACACCATTGTGGTACTCAGTAGTTAGTTATTATTTGTAATTCCTATTGTTTTAACTTATTCGTGAAGGCTGTTTGACGGACAGAACATTATATTTGCCATAGTCCAGGAGTAATTTGGTAGCATTTGAGTGAAAAAGTGCTGTCAGATAAAATATCATAAACTGAGGCAGGACCAGTGATGATACCAGTCATAAAGCCAGAGTTACCAACTTGAATGCATCATTGATGCAATGTGCGATATTTGTTTTGTGCAACACAAATGCAATTTAAAGAGCTTGGATACATTTTATTTTTGTTTCCAGTACTCTTTCACCCCAATTCCATCCAATTGAGTATCTAAATGAGGAATGAGCTAGTACGCAAAGCATAGATTGAAAGGCGGCGAGTGTAAATGAAACTTGTGTTGAATATGATGGAGGGAATGCTAAAGCATTTGTGCGAACTTTACAAGCTGAATTTTCTTTAAAAATCAACAGTTAAAATGACGCGGAGCCATCTGCAGTGTTTATTCTTACTCCAGTTGACGCATTATACTACCCCACAAGATGGTCTACCTTGCGAAGACTTGGGTTGTGAAAGTTTCCACTTGGACCCACAAAAATCTCCAAATTAACCACCCCATCGAGACAATCGGACACGAAGCTTGCAAATTCGTCCACTTATCCTCGGCCAATCAGAGATAAAATCAGTGAATTGGTTGAATTAAAACACAATGAAAACGTGTGGATAATCCACTATTAACTTTAGACTTGATTAAGCTCAGAAGCGGTACGTCCAATCCTCAAAAACTTAAATCAAGCAAGCCTAACCATAACAATCCTCGTGGCGCCAGTACCAAACCAAATCATAACAAGTAAGTCCATTTTTGTTCCGTTTGTACCTAAGCAATAAATGAGTGCATTTTTTCCCATTTATGGGAGGTAAATAGGTTGTAAAGACCCGACTAGGATGACATTAATAGGCAAACAAGTGATTTAATTAAGAAAGACAACTGTGTTATCCATGAAAGGATGATCTATTTGGCAGTCACATGATGCAGCAGAAACTCATTGTGCCCTGCACCTCCTTGTCTAACTAAAACGGAAAGCCACCACGCCTAATGGAATTTTTTTTTAAATACAGTTACCACGCAACTTCATTCAACTTCTCTCACGATTACCAAGCCCCGTCATGCAAAAGAGTTCAAAAGGGGGAACGAAAGTGGGTTTACTTAGTGGAAGCGCAGCTTTGTGCAGCTTTGCATCCTCTGAAAACCAATCTCACCTTCCTCTTCATCCGCAGACACCTTCAGTCTCCAGACGAGGTCTTTTCAATCCTTAAATATTCACACGAGCAGTTGCCACATGATGCAGTAGTCTTCATTTGAATGAAGGATGATGGCATATTCCAAAAGCACTCACCCTAGCTTTGATGCGACGCCGTTTCACAATTGCAGTCTTACACACTCTGAAAGGCGGTGAAGCAGTTGCACGACCATTCTAGAATCTGGAATGAGTAGAGAGCATGAGTACGTCGACCTGACGCCAATCACATGGGTTTGGGTAAATTTAGGCAGTCAAATGGCATGTGTCACTGCACCATTCTGATGGAGTTGCATCACACAGTGAGCACTATGGTAGTGGCACTCTTTTCAATGTCCATGAGAAGACAAGGAAAGTATGAGCGAAAGGGGATGCCTGTAACTATAATTCCACCCAATTTCACCTGCATTTAGATGTATCTCTGTCAAAGCTAATACCTTATTCAAGGCCCTCGATCTCACAATGACAAATGGAATTGTAGAGGAATTCGAAATTGTGCTGTGGACGGGGCATGGTGAATCATAGTTTTGGGAGAGAGTGTTGCATCAGCAATTTGTATTCGGGATTTTTGGAAATGGCAATGTTTTTAAATATATCTTTAAGTCCCCTGTCAACAAAGAATTTGATTTACCAACGCTACTAGATCAAATTGTTGCACTATTTTCAAAGAAAGGGAATTCGGCAAGTAAACGTAAAATCTTTCT